GCTCGTCTTCAAGCTTTTCCGGTGATTTCCCCGATTTCCACAACAGCGAAGCTGACCATACCGCAATAGAAGATTTGGAAAAAGAAACGGAGATTGGGTTTCACCATCAGGAGGGAAACCATTGCAACGTCTACTTCGATGGAGAACAAGGTTAGTACTAACTTAACCTCCCAGTGATTTCATGTTTTTTTCTTGTTCACGGAGATAATTTCTATTTTTGAGCTGAATTTTCGATCAATTTATTGCGGAAATGCTTCAAATCAAGTATTTGGATGATCAGTGGTTTAGTTGGAGAAATCTGGGGCTTGAGTCTGGATTAACTAAGTAGTGTAGGACGTTTCTCTTCTGGTGGTGAAAGTCCTTGTCATGATTTCTTGTTTGTATATGAAGGAATTTGGAAATGTCGCCAATGCGATTGGACCTACACAGAGGGATCTTTGTTATGTTTTGAAACCAAAGGTCAGTCCAGTGTTAGGGTTTCTTGGGCCAACATCATTCTTAGCTGCAAATTCATCACATCAGCTGTTTCCACTATCCGCCTTATTTGGTTTTCAACAGTTTGGAAATGTCTTCTTGTTTGGTTGAAAATGTTTTATCATTTGATAATTGAGTTTCTGGTTTAATTCTTGTTTCATGTTTTTCTGTTAGGCTCTGAGTCAGCTGATGCGGAACCTCATGTCCATGGTTCCCAAACTGCGGGCTGCTTCAACGGGGAGAAAAAACAGTCAGAATCTGAAAACGGTTCAACTTCTGAGGATAACAAAAGGTCCCCTGAAATCGAACAAGTTCAAGATGTTGATTTCTCTACAAACCTGGATCAACCCACTGGTGATGTGATAGAGGAGGAGCTGGAATATGAAGAAGGTGAATATTATCATGTGGAGAATATGATGAATAACCAAAAGACACATGAATTGATCTGCCCAAACTGCGATTCTTGTATCACCAAAAAGGTTATCCTCAAAAGAAGAAAACGGAAGGTCCTTCACCCGCTGGACAATCCAAAGCGCCCGAAATTGCCTCCTCAGCAGAATGACCTTCTTCTTGGTTCACAAGACAATTCGCCATCTGCAAATGG